GGAGGATGCAGCACTGGCAGCCAATTGGGCTTTGTTGCAGTGCACATATGGTGACAGGAGGAGAGAGCAGAGCTGATGGCATAGCAGTGTAGCTGCTCATTGTCCAGTTATCAGGCAGGGGTTTGTTCTTGACGGACTGTTCAGTTGAAGTCTAGTTACTGGCTTTGCTGTTTGGTGGGGTTGTCTGTATCACAAAACAGTCGGCAGAAATGTAGAAATTGTCTGGCCGGTAAAATGGTTACAGATTTGTTTTCCTGTAATTCCAACTTTAGGGCCCATTTAGATGGGCTATAATGGTACCATTACACTGCTAACACACTGCAGTGTGTATAAAAAAAAAAATGCATACAGGCAGTCTCCGGGTTACAAGCAAGATTAGGTTCTGCAGTTTTATTCTGTTAATTTTGTATGCAAGTTGGAACAGGTAAATTGTTTTAAGTGTAGCTCCAACCAAAAAAATATTTTTAAGTTTTAAATGGCATAGGGAAGGGTTAACTAGCCATGCAGTGATGTGGGATTGCTGACCGGACCATAGGTGGCACCTTGCAGTGAGCAACAATATGGCCGCCCATTGGTTTCTGGGACCAGCATGATGTCATACTGCCTCTGTTCTTAAGTACAAGTCAGATGTTTGTACCCCAGTGACTACTTGAATTCTGTTGTTAGTGTGGCTGCCAGCCCATTCAAAATAGGCTGTTTTAATGCAGAGCAGCATTATTATTATACAGGATTTATATAGCACCAACAGTTTGCTCAGCGCTTTACAATATAATGGGAGACAATACAGTTCAATACAAGAGCGTTTGGATGTCCCTGGTCCTTGGAGCTTACAATCTAAGAGGATGCATGGCATTTAGATTACAGTATGGCTTGAGTCAAGTTTGTATATGTTCTGTTTACATTTGCAAAAAAAAAAAGTGGACTTACCCTTTTAAAGTGACTGGCTACCATCTTTTTAGAAGGAATGAAAATTTCCTGCAATAGAAAATGGATATGTTCTCGCCTGTCCTTCCATCCATTCCTGGAAGAATTACAGCCATCTGAAGAATCACTTGCAGGTAACTCAGATGCCTGGTCCTCCACTGCACCCTGTTCCTTCTGCCAGCTTCTTTCACTACAGGATGCTTCTGTACAGAAGTGACGTAGACGCCAGCTGATTGAATCAGAGTGTGGCGGGGACACAGATATTGGACACTCTCGAGGTGTGGATTGGCAAAGATTCTTTAGGTAGCTGTAGTTCTCGAACTGTAAAGACTCCAGTAATGGGTAGCATGACCAATAAATATAAACAGCCTTATTGAAGGAAACTTTGTAATTTAAAGCGAAACTTGCATGAAAATGCAGGGTTTGTTTGTTGCATTCTCTACTGTTACTCCCTGGGAAGGATGCTTCTGCTTTCAATAGAAGACACATGTATGCTTGTTCTTAATAGTGTGCTCTGGAGTGCTCTTATGATCGATGGCAATCTGACCACCCTCGTGCAATCCAACGGCAATGACTACATTTTTGCACGGATTGGTCTTAAAACAGAAGAACAAAGTTTATTATATTACAGAATACTAGTCCAGTCCTTAGGTTTGGTAGCTGCATTTTGTTCCTGTTTTTTCACCTGAGGATCCTGCCAGTGCCACATTTCCTGTCCTAGTGTGACAGCACTCTGTACTGTATCTAAGAAGGAGCAGCAAGCATTATCACCCTAAGCCAAGAAGTGTTGAGGACTACAGTATACCCCCCCTCCATCTCAAACACATGGGAAGGTGTCATGTAGAAGAAGAAATCAGGTACAGTTGACTACATTGTTTTAGATTTCAATGTACCATTGGCAGCTTACTACAGAAATATGGAAGATCTAGAAGGATCAATAGTGGGGGTTTTTTTTTTGTTTGTTTTTTTTATCGAAACAGGTATATTAAAACTGTTTCAACTGTATTTTTAACAGAGTACAGGGGACCAAATAAGAGACATTCCTTGATAGTTACCTCCTATACTTGCATAACCGAAAGATGAGAACTAAGGCCCCATTCACACCTGAGCGTTTTTGTAGTGCAAAGCTCGAAGCTCCAAAATGCTCTGGGAGGGAAAAAAACATTACTTTATGGAGGTGATTCACAAGTCACCTGAAGTAGAACTCCTGAAGCTCAAAGTTTTGAAGTTACTTCTGTAGCTCCATTCGGGTAGACTGATGCATTTTGGTGCGTTTTCATTTCCATAGAAATACATAGAAACACACAAATTGCGTGTTTTCATGCGTTTTGGTGCGCAACCAAAAGTGTTTTTCTGGCATGGCAAAACTTGGCAACAATTAGTCACAGATGAAATTTTTCTGTATTGGCTAATACAGAAATGCTAGAACTCAAAGCCCCAAAATACCTGAACAAATCACACACAAACATTTGCAAACACGGGAAAAATGCACAAAAATGCCAGGCTCAAGTGGAAATGGTGCCTAACAAGAAGGTTGGTCTCCAGGCTGATTCAGGATCCATGTACACTGGTTTAGAAATTGCCAGTGCTTTTGCTAGGAAAAAAAAAGGCTTCTTTCACACCGAGGAGTTTTTAAAGCACTTTTGCGTTTTTCAAAAAAAAAAGCCTGAAAAGCTCAAGAAAAATGCTTCCCTATGTATGCTTTCACACTGGGGCGTTGCACTTCCATTGCGGTGTAAAACTCCTGCTTGCAGCATCTTTTGAGCATGTTTGTTCAGTTAAAAAAAAAAAAAAAAAAAAGAGTGCCTTATTTATTTCAGTTACTTATATAGCGTCGTCCATTTACGCAGCACTTTACATATATATTGTACATTCACATCAGTCCCTAACCCTCAAGGGGTGTACAATCTAAGGTCCCTAACTCACATTCATACATACACATACTAGGGCCAATTTAGACAGGATCCAATTAACCTACCAGCATGTCTTTGGAGTGTGGGAGGAAACCCACGCAGGCACAGGGAGAACATGCAAACTCCAGGCAGGTGGTGCCATGGTTGGGATTCGAACCAACGACCCTAGTACTGCCAGGCGGAAGTGCTAACCATTTAGCCACTGTGCTGCCCACAAGTCAATGGAAAACACCTGAAAAACGCTTCTGTGAAGCGTTTTTTGTGCAGTTTTTTAAGTTGCATGTCCTTTTTAAAAACCGCTCAGTGTGGTAAAAATGCTTGTGTTTTTCCTGTGTCTTTGCGACAGATCAGTGTGAAAGTAGCCTAATTTAGAGCGTTTTTGTATTCGCATTTAACAGCATTTGGTATGTGGTTTTTTTGGGGGGGTTTTCCTATCAGGAAACACTCTCAAATGCAAAACAGAAGGGGTTTTTTTTGGGGTTTTTTTCCTGCTGCTAAACACCGAGCTTAAACACCTCCTAGACTACCTAATGTACATGGACACATAGGATAACATTTGTTTATTTTACAGGCAAAACTCCTCTAGGGGCAGTTTTTTTTTTTTTTTTTTTTTAGCCAGTGTGCATGGAGCCTGAGGCTGATTCTGGTTGGAATAACTGCACAGTTGAAAATAAATTCTTCCAGTATTTGGGCTGGAGTTTCTGTATGCTTCGGCTAATAACATATTGCAAAAATGTGGAACAAACCAAAAGCAGCAGATGAGTGATTAGCCTCTGAGTATTTAGAATAGTCAGGCTGATGAAAAGCACCTCTGATTGAATTCTGTGGTTAATGGCACACAGCTGCTCCAAGGGCCTTGAATATGGTATGCTCAGATATATACATTTTAAATAGAATTTTCCTTGGATTGCAGCTCCTGATCATCTTCTGACTCCCTAGGTCTCTAGTAAATCCTGCTATGGTCACTAGATCTTTCCATTTTATGTGAAATTCTGTGCAAACCTTTGCACTGGATTAGTGTTAAGCACCTTGCTTCTGGCTGATCCTTTTCATACAATGCACAAAGAAGGCAAGGTCGGCCACTCCTGCCATAGGCCTTGAAGAGCTTCCAGTCATGTGCGTTCTAAGCTTTCCTTTTGCCTCACGGATACAAAATTCACCGTGCTCCCAAACTATGACGCCATAAAAAAAACAAGGAACTTGTCATGATCTGTCATAAAAAAGAGAGTTTCCATTTGAACACAATAGGCTGTAGGCATCTCAGAGCAGCGTTGAAATGTATCTAGGCCCCCAAATCAAGGTGAAGCCAATATTTTGTATATGATCTCATTGTTCTGTCTGCTGCAAGATGCATTTTTTTTCATTATCCTCTGAAATGTAGTTCCTGTGTGGGTATTAGATTACCATGTCTTCAGTGTTTCCCCCCCCCACCACCAGAGAACTCCTTTGTTCTGTATTTAGGGAATCCTGCGCCTAATCGCTTTCCTTTTTGGCAAAGAAGTTTCCGTCTGTTGCTCAGCCCCTGTCCTCCCCTAGTCTCCGTTTTCACATTTAAGGGCAGCTGCAGCCTTGTAGTTGGTAGTAAAACCCTAGCACTTGGTAGCTACCCAATAAGAATGAGGCATGTGGAATGCGGAGAAGTCTATCCCATGTGCAGCCCTCCCAACCCCCCTTACTTAAGATCCATACATCCTCTGGGCACAAAGGCCCTAAGCCAGTGTGTTTTAGAAATAAGAAGTAATTTGATATCTTGTGCATAGCCATATATTTTAAAAATAGGAACAAATCTATGTGAGCCATTTCTATTCATGTCATTTTTTTTTTTTTCCTTTATCTGCCCAACAAGGAAGATGGATCTCCTCCCCAGCCTCTTGACAAATTACTCAGCAGCGTTGTTGCTTTTCATTACGTTCTTTGTGTTTCAGTTTGATTGTACCAATATTAGTAAGACTAGAGATAAAGCATGAACATAATTACGCTTTTATTGATTGGTGAAGGCAGCCATGCATATCTAGTTGCATTGTGATCTTATAAATCAATTTATGTGACAACCTACATTTACTTATAGTCATTAAAAATGAATGTATCTCTATTCAGCAACTTAGGAAATATATGAAGTTTGCTCTATATCTTTTAACTTGTATTCTTTTTTTTTTTCTTTAGGTTTTAGACAGTTTACTCGCACAATATGGAACAGTGGAAAACTGTGAGCAAGGTATGATTGGTGTGAGCAATAAACTTGATTGGCAATATATTGGAGGTGTGCTAATTTTGTTTCCTTTCTGTTTACTTTCGCAGTGAACACTGACACGGAGACTGCAGTAGTGAATGTAACATATGCCAATAAAGATCACGCTAGACAGTAAGGTCTTATTGTACCCTGTATTTTGTCTTTCTCTAGTGCGCTCTCTCACACGCTCTGTCTCCTTCGCTTGTGTCTATCCGATATGTTTTTATATTTAACTATATTATGAGAATTTTAATTTTGCAACTACTGCAAGCCCTTTAGAGGCAGCCATAGACTGATCAAAATGTGGCCGGTGCAACAGGCACTGGCCGAATTTCGATCATTCTATGGGCAGGCTGGTTGTACTAAAGTCAATCTGACAATTGACTTAAAGTGGTTGTAAAAGCTGAAGGTTCTTTACCTTCATGCATTCCATGCACAAAGTTAACCTGTGTTGCTCCCCCCACAGCCCCCCTAATACTCACCGATCCCAGTTCAGCGCTGTACACTAGAGCCTGGGCTGTCCCAAGTCTCTTTTCATTGGCTGAGACAGCAGCAGGAGCCATTGACTCCCACTGCTGTCAATCAAAGCCAGTGAGCCAATGAGGAGAGAGCGGGGGCTGGGCCCGGGCTGCGGCTGTATGTGTCTTAGAGCAGGGCTTGGGAGCAAGCACGCACCAGTGCCCCCATAGCAAGCAGCTTGCTATTGGAGGCACTTGTCAAGGGAGAAGAACCAGGAGTGCTGATGGGGGACCCAAGTAGAAGAGGATCGTGGCTGCTGTATGCAAAACCACTGCACAGAGCAGGCAAGTATGATATATTTGTTATTTAAAGAAAAAAAATAAAAAAGCCAAACTTTTAATAGCACTTTACAACCAGCCTTTGGGGTTTTTTGAAGCAAAGAAAATTTTTTTTTTTTCATACAGTTACTGCTCTCAGCGACAGCCGGCAGAAGTAATCATTGAATTCTTATGGTGGTGAAACCTCCTGCTGGCAGAATATAATAGTGAAGCAGAGGGATTCCCCACCAAGTTTAGGATCAAGACATTTTTTTTCTTTGCTTCAACCTATGGTTGAAGCAAAGAAAATTGATAAATATATGGCCTGGATTCGTCATTTCAGTGTAGACCTAAAGGATCATTCAATCTGTTTGGTGATGCCTGGAGATCAGCACTGATCTGCTTGTGGGACGAAACACCCCATATAGAGAGCAGTGCTGTACTCTTAACCCTCTGTGACCCATACGTCATAATTGACCCTGCTTGTTCCTCTACACTAAACCTAAAGTGACTTTTAAAGCTGACTCACAATACCGCATTGCAGAAGCAAACCTTGAAAGTGTTCTGTAATTTTAACACACCTCCAGAATGTAGTTGTGGTGTGTGAGTGAAATGTGTATGTATGTATGACATATATGTGTGTGTGTGTGTGTGTGTATGTATATACTACAGTTTGTGTACTTGAGTATGTAATATGTGTGTGTGTATATGTATGTATGTGGGGTGTGTGTATATGTGTGTGTGTCAGAAAGCTGTATATGTATACGTCAAAAAGCACTCAGAAATGGATGGCAAAGAATGTATAAATACCTGTGGAGAGATCTTGTATATATGGAAAAGGGTGTCCTTCCAATAAGAGAGACCTGGAATAAGAGTGGTCCAAAATATATCAGAAGCTTATATATATATATATATATATATTATCAAGGGTGCCAATATATATTAGTCATATGTTTATATATATATATATATATATATATATATATATATATGTGTATGTATGTGCCAAAATATATATATATGTATATATATATACATATATATATATATATATATAATATATATAAAAAATTTACAGACAATGTCAAGCAAAACCTGAGGCAAATCCAAGTCCTTCACTGTTAAGTCCAATTGCCTTACCAGTGGGCTGAGAGAGCAGGTACGAGAATGGTCCCGCACCGTGTTAGTCTATATACCTAGCCTATGAATATAAAAGCAATATGCCCAGATATTGATATTTTAAATGGGCTGCCAATGTAATTCGCTTTAACACATAAGAATGTGTACACTACAGCACACTGCATTCTGGTGTGAATGGACCCTTGCCGCTTCTTTTCATACTCCTCTCTCCTGTGTTGAGATGATCTACAACAAAGACTAGCCTTTCTCAGCAGAAACACACCATTGCCAGAATACCAGCACCAGACAGAATCTTTGGAATTCTGGTGGAACTTCTTGCATCTCAGAGACCAGCCTTGAATTCCTTGCTGTCGATCCCATTTATGTTCACATCTTTCTTCTGTGAGGTTGTTTGCATAGCCTTGCTAATACTGTTGTATTCTTAAAGAGAAACTACACTTCATGTGAGCCCCACAAATAAATATGCTATTTAATACATTTTTGATGTTCAGAACAAACTTCACCCATCCATCCATGTCTCTGATTTATTTTGCTGGGAAATCACTTTTGAAAAACACCCCTTAGCATTTCTGGTGGTGGGTCATCTTGAGTAAGGGCAAATGTTGCATTTACTTCCTGGGATCCATCTGCACTTAGTTCAGGCATCCAAGCAGGAGGGTGTGCTCAGCTGAGAAAATCCCTTCTCTCCTCCAGAAGACTCCAGGGATGTATGACATTATTTGACTAGGCAAGAAAACTGGAAGTAACTGCAGAAACGTAAAAAAAAAATGTTTAAAACAAGTAAATATGATATACGTTCCTGTCTATTTCCGAATAACCACATAAGGATTAAAAATAGTGTTGATTGACAGAGTGAAGTTCCACTTCAATAACATAGTGAAATCATAGTACAGAAGAGTGGGGTCGTCATAATGCAACAGTTTTACTGACCTGCATACTGGAGGTGTAAAGAGATGCGCAAAAAAGTATTTAAAAGCTAATAGAAAGTCACTGACAATCTTGGGGTGGACAGACTCATTGTGTTCTGCATTCAAAGTTTTTTAAATGGCCATTCATATGAGTGTAAGACATGCTTATATTCATGGTCTAGCTGCAGAACACCTATAGCAATCTTTCTCAAATGTTTCCCTCGAATACCATGAACAAGGGACGAATTTCCAGCTTCTTTCACAAACTAGTTCATTTAATAAGTGCCAAGTGCAACAACCCCTAGTAATTTAAAGATCTGACTACAGTAAACTGAAATCTAAAGAACAGATTGTGATTGCTATCAAAACTTTAGAGTCACTGCACTTTTGTCTGTTCTTGACATAGGTGTGGGACCTTAAGTTTTTTGTAAAACCATTTGCACTCTGGTGTTAGCATGTTTAAGTGCAGTTTAAGCAATCAATACATTTAAAATGCTGCATTTGCGTGTTCAAAATCAATCCTAATGGTGGTTACATTCCAGTATCTAATGTTTCATTAAAGTGAAGAGATCCCAATGCATCTGTGCTACTCCATTATAATGAGTGTTGTGCCACCTTGTGGTGAACATAAGTCTTACTTGCAGGTTACGAATAGCTCTGGGTTTGCCGTAATCCGTGCGCAGAAGGGATTGTAAGATCGTACAGCTACCACCAAGCTGACCATATAAAGCACATGCTTGAAAATGACCTGGAGTGATTAAGCTATTGAAAAGGCGTGGGTAATTAGCAGAATAAAGCATCTCTACTGTTGGGATCAAATTAATTCCTAGGTAGGGTAAGGATTTGGGAGCCCATTGAAAATTGAAATTATTGCGCAGTAGGTCAACAGTGGCTTGGGGTAGACTGATATTCAGTCCGACCATTTTGCTTTGGTTTAGCAGCAAACCAGAGAATATGCTGTTAAACCATAATTTAAAACAATGGTAGTATAGCTTTTTTTTCTTACAGAAAAATCATCAGAACTTCTGCTGTTTCCAGCAACAGGTTTTAATGTAAAATTGTGATGTTATTAACAAATACAACAAACACTGAAAATGTGTTTGCCAAAAATATGTAAGACTATGAGATATGTAAACACCCTACACTTGAAAAGTGAACGTTAATTTACACAGCATGATGGCAATGACATTGGTGCAATTACGGGAAAAGAGGTGCACTGTGGAATTGGGATCAGAGTTTGTGATCCCTAAGGCCATGAGTACTTTTAGAGATTGCTAGCACGGGGTCTGCAACTGGAAACTTGTGTATTTAAAAAAAAAAAAAAAAAATTATATAAATTGCACATGTATCACTTAAACAGGAAAACAAAACCTAAATATGTGAAATAGTAACTAAACCGAAAAACATAAAGACACGCAATAGTAATAATCTCATGTCATTCTGTGTGCTACTGAAGACCATGAGCATTAACGATTGCCACATTTAAAAAAAAAAAACGAATATTAAAACAAAGTATATAGTGTGCAAGCTATACATAGGCCGCAATTTGATATGTTCCTATGTATATGCTTAACTCCTTTTTTTTTTTTTTTTTTTTTTTTTTTTTTTTTTCCTTCTCCTGGTTTCATGTTTTTATATGTTGTTTTTCAACGTTGAGACTGATTTTTCTGTATATTATGTCTCAGAATGTTATGTTGGATCAAGTCCTGTATTTTTATTTTTTTTTCCCATATTAACATTTGGATTAAGCCTGTCTATCCTTGGGGCAGGCAGACATTATGCTCTCACACCATAGTTAATCTCATGTTGTATTTACTTCTGTACCATTTCGACATGGGTACGTCAATAAGTTCACTGCTCTTAATGTACATGTTAAAATATCGATAAAAAAAAGTGTGTGTATGTATGTGTGTGTGTATGTGTATATGTATATATATATTTCGTAAACCGGAAACCAAAATTTTAATTTGTGCAATGATTACTATCTCCTCTTATTCTGCATATATCCTGTGAAGTAATATGTACTATAAATGTCTCAGTGTCTTTTTTTCTTTTTTTTTTTTTTCTTCCAAAAACTAGGGGGCTTGAAAAATTAAACGGATATCAGCTTGAAAACTATTCCCTTAAAGTGACCTATATTCCTGATGAGATGGCAGCCCAACAAGCACCCACCCAACAGCTACAGCCTCAGCCGCAGCAGCAGCATCCTCAAGGGAGACGTGGATTTGGTCAAAGAGGACCTCCAAGGCAGGGTTCCCCTGGGGCTGCTGCAAGACCTAAACCCCAGTCCGAGGTCCCACTGCGTATGCTAGTTCCTACACAGTTTGTAGGAGCCATTATTGGAAAGGAGGGTGCAACCATCCGAAACATTACTAAACAAACCCAGTCAAAGTAGGTTTAGTTTGATCATAAGCATTTTTTTTTTGTTTGCTTGTTTTTTTTATCAATGTGTCTAGTTCTGCAAATCCAGGAAAATTCCCAAGTATAGAGCTTGAATTCCTGGGAATTGGGCACAGATATGTAGGATACCAAGTGCAGCTTATCTGCACTGTTTGGTGGTGTGACAGCACCCTAAGGCTTTGAATGTCTGCCAATAGGTAGCAGTGACCGAATGTATTGAGCATTTGGCTGGATATTTTGGGTCCTTGCACTATATGATTAGAAAATGCCGCCTACCTTGGCAGAAAAAAGCTCATATACAGCGTACAGGAGTTTAGGAACTTTTAGGCGCATTGTGTTTTTTTTTGGGGGGGGGGGTTCTGCCAGGAATGTCCTCTCAAACCAGGACAGTGTGTTTTTTTTGTTTTCTGCCTCTAGACACTGAGCTCACAAATGCCTCTAAATATCCTATTGTGCATGGCTACATAGGAATATCACTGAGCTGCTTTTACAGGAAAAACGGAAAACTGTAGAAGTAGCATTTGTTTTAAGCCAGTGGGCACAGACCCTTACGGTACATCTTAATGAATTGTCAAAATACCTTTTGCTTATAAAATAAGTTAATCCAGTACTTTTTTGTTGCGTTTTTAATTCTCTTTGGGAAGCCTGAAACACATTTGATACCAGCTATTTTGCATAAGTGTCAGGTTTTTGCGGTTACCTAGTACTGGTGTTTATAAAGTTTGGAACAGTTAGCCGTTTTGTGTGCTGCATGTTGGGAGCATTGAACCCAGACTGGCCATCTGGCAACTATGGCACCCCTAACAATATAGCCATTAGAAGTGGTGCCAATAGCATTCTTGCTTCACAGGGCTTAAACACAGGCAGTTTATGAAGCATGCAATTGGAGAAATTGCCCACATAAATGCTTGCTTCAGGTTTCCCCAGTGTGAAAAGCATATACAAAGATAAACTCTATTGAGCAGATAACTGGATGATTTGAATCTCCTTGTTTCGTAAGTCAGGGCACTGTGGGAACCCCATTTCTAATATATGTCTTAGTTAACCTAGACTTTACATACCTAGGTCTTTGTAAACTGATGAGGGTGCATGTATGTTGCCTCAGTCGAAAAAGTAGTCTGCGGATGAAGTTGTACAAGCTGCTTTCAATGCAGTCCTCTCCTGTTTATTTTTAGTTAAGTTAAAAAAAAAAACAAAAACACAGATCTAACTTTTTTAAACTTTTAATCTGTGGCTTCTTTTCCTCTCAGAATTGATATTCACCGTAAAGAAAATGCTGGAGCAGCGGAGAAACCAATTACCATTCATTCTACTCCCGAAGGCTGTTCAACAGCTTGTAAAATAATTATGGAAATTATGCAGAAGGAAGCGCAGGATACCAAATTGTAAGTGAAGAGCATGTGAGGTGTAAATTGACAAAGTGGTGTGCTGACTGTTGCACTGTAAGTTTGGCAGCAGAAGACTTGTGTCAAACATACTCTGAAGTATTAATTTAGTTTAATGGGTTACTGTTTGATGTATAAGTGGTATGTAACCTTTTAATGGTGTATAAATAGTTTTTAAATGTATTATTTTTTATTGTCGTCTAGAATTCTATGGACTGCTTCATTGCATTTTGTGACATCAATACTTCAACCAGTAATTCAAAACTACATGTCCTAGCAGTGTAGGAGAACCTCCATTGTTTTGCTAAGCATTTTTTTAGGCATAATAGACTGGGTTAGAATTGCACCATTGGAACTGTAAACCACCTTTGTGTGGTTTTTTCTTTTTTTGTGTTTTTGTTTTGTTTTTTTTAGATCATGGCACCTATAAAATTAATAGGAGGGTAGTTTTACGTGTGTGTGATGAAAGTTTAAATTGTTGTTCTCCCAAAGGCAAATAAAATTGTTACCCTAAGGCCAAGGTTCATGGTTTTTCGTAATCCGGGCCAGGGTAGGGGGCTACAACAATAGCTGTCTGCTCAGGAGATGAGGTTGTGGTCACCTACAAAGTTCTGTCAGGCCAGAAGAATGACCATATATGCACCAAAATATGGCTGGTTACTGCTGAAGTGGCCAAATTTCGATCCATCTATGGTCAGCTTATTGGTCCTAATGCTAAAACCTTTGAAAAAGATTATTTGTTTCATTTTTCTAGAGATTAGACTGATTAGGAAAATGGACAATTTATTACTGCTCCTATTTTTCCTTTGGATTTGTATATCAGATGACATAAAAAGTGAGGTTAGGCAAACTAGACTTAATGTTAGATGTATGGGAGCTGGCACTTCTGATTGGGGTTTTAAAGCTGCAAGCTTAGGAATTCTCATTCTGATCTTTACTTGTTACCTGTACAAGCATGCAGGATAAGAGTTTTAGCTTTTCAGATTTCACTGGCTACATGCTTCTTCCTGGCTAGCGACTTGCTATGCCTTACAGTCAGAATCATGAAGATGACCAAGCCTGCACCCTTTGAGTATGAAATGGCCCCTCTATTACTTCTGCCCTCACAAGTTGGGTTTAAATAAGAAATATGTATAAATCAGATAGTTGTATCTTGGTTTTGAAATACGTGAAAGCCAGTTGGGTATAAACATTAGGCAGATAGCAAGGTAAAACCATTCCTTGACTTGTATGTAGTAAATACTTCACTGAGTGCAGTAAAACATTTTAAATGCAACAGGAATATGCAGAAAGCGTCCATACAGCTTTGACCTTTTATATATGATTTTATAGGGAAAAAGTGGTTTATTAATGCTCCTTTTTATTTTTTTATATAAATAGAGATTACATTTTCTTTTCTGCCAGTGCTGGCAGTAATCAGTAACTCCCATTTGCAAGGGTGAATGGGACCTTTTTTATGTAGCCTTTTTTGAGACCTCTGTCCCAGCCAATTCTAAATGAAAGGTGTATATGGTAAAAAAAAAAAACTTTTTATGCATTGTCATTGTTAATTCCTTCTAAAAATTGCTATTTCTCTGGCTGTTACTCCTGACCAGTTGAGTTACTGACCCAGAACAAGGCTGGGAAATCAAAGGTCCTTATCCATATACTCGGCCTTAAGCTCAGCCAGCAGGCTAAATGGGGAAAAAAAAACTGATTCCTCCAGCCACAAAAACAAGGTGGATGGAGGAATCCACCCACAAGGGACATTGTGTTTAGACGGACAACTGATTGCCTGCAGCTGCTGATCGAGGCTAAATTTTCAACATGTCCCATTGATAGAAGTTGATAAACTTCTGATTGAATAGGGACAGCCACACACTCACCGAAATTTGTATGGTTCCTGCTGAAGCCACTGAATTTCAATGTATGGCCAGCTTAAGTCAAAGACTCGAAAGTAATAGGTCAGGTTGAAAACCAGGCACTTGTTGATCCTTTTGTATACTTTCATGTTTAAAGCTAATGGGTGTCCTAACTTTGGTTATCTTGCGTTTCTAGCACTGAAGAGATTCCCTTAAAAATTCTAGCACATAACAACTTCGTTGGCCGTCTCATCGGCAAAGAAGGGAGAAACCTGAAGAAAATTGAGCAGGACACCGATACAAAAATTACAATTTCTCCGTAAGTTTGGCAAGACTAGGCCAGTGTTGTATACTTGGTGTAAGCTACAGTGGGGCAAAAAAGTATTTAGTCAGCCACCAATTTTGCAAGTTCTCCCACTTAAAAAGATGAGAGAGGGCCTGTAATTGGCATCATAGGTAGACCTCAACTATGAGAGACAAAATGAGAAAAAAAAATCCAGACAATCACATTGGCTGATTTGGAAAGAATGTATTTGTAAATTATGGTGGAAAATAAGTATTTGGTCACCTACAAACAAGCAAGATTTCTGGCTCTCACAGACCTGTACCTTCTTCTTTAAGAGGCTCCTCTGTCCTGCACTCATTACCTGTATCAGTGGCACCTGTTTGAGGTTGTGGAAGGTGTCTTTTTATCTGTATAAAAACAAGTTCCAAACAAGTCAAACAGTCACACTCCAAACTCCACTATGGTGAAGACTAAAGCGCTGTCGAAGGACACCAGAAACAAAATTGTAGATCTGCACCAGGCTGGGAAGACTGAATCTGCAATAGGCAAGCAGCTTGGTGTGAACAAATCAAATGTGGGAGCAATAATTAGAAAATGGAAGACATACAAGACCACTGATAATCTCCCTCGATCTGGGGCTCCACGCAAGATCTCACCCCGTGGGGTCAAAATGATCACAAGAACAAAAATGAGCAAAAATCCCCAGGACCACACGAGGGGACCTAGTGAATGATCTGCAGAGAGCTGGGACCAACGTAACAAAGGCTACCATCAGTAACACACTACACCGCCAGGGACTCAGATCCTGCAGTGCCAGACGTGTCCCCCTGCTTAAGCCAGTACATGTCCAGGCCCGTCTGAAGTTTGCTAGAGAGCATTTGGATGATCCAGAAGAGGATTGGGAGAATGTCATATGGTCAGATGAAACCAAAATAGAACTGTTTGGATGCAACTCAGCATTCTCTCTCCTCCAAACACGACGAGTTGTGTTTTTACCAAAGAACACCATACCTACTGTGAAGCACAGGGGTGGCAACATCATGCTTTAGGGCTGCTTCTCCGCAAAGGGACCAGGACGACTGATCCATGTACAGGACAGAATGAATGGGGCCATGTATCATGAGATTTTGAGTGCAAACCTCCTTCCATCAGCAAGGGCATTGAAGATGAAATGTGGCTGGGTCTTCCAACATGACAATGATCCCGAACATAGCGCCCGGGCAACGAAGGAGTGGCTTCGTAAGACGTATTTCAAGGTCCTGGAGTGGCCTAGCCAGTCTCCAGATCTCAACCCCATAGAAAACCTTTGGAGGGAGTTGAAAGTCCGTGTTGCCCAGCGACAGCCCCAAAACATCACTGCTCTAGAGGAGATCTGCATAGATGAATGGGCCAACATACCAGCAACAGTGTGTGCCAACCTTGTGAAGACTTACAGGAAACGTTTTACCTCTGTCATTGCCAACAAAGGATATATAACAAAGTATTGAGATGAACTTTTGATATTGACCAAATACTTATTTTCCACCATAATTTTTGCAAATAAATTCTTTCCAAATCAGCCAATGTAATTGTCTGGATTTGTTTTCTCATTTTGTCTCTCATAGTTGAGGTCTACCTATGATGCCAATTACAGGCCTCTCTCATCTTTTTAAGTGGGAGAACTTGCACAATTGGTGGTGACTAAATACTTTTTTGCCCCACTATATGTTAGACAATTAACATTTTATTTTTGATGGCCCTAGACTGCAGGACTTGACACTATATAATCCTGAGCGGACTATTACAGTAAAAGGCAGCATTGAGGCGTGTGCCAAAGCTGAGGAAGAAATAATGAAAAAAATCAGGGAGTCCTACGAAAATGATATTGCAGCTATGAATGTAAGTGATTGTTCAGTACGTTCTGGGTGGGAGGTGGAAATGTGGAAATGTATTTCTATAACATTGTACAGAGTTTAGCATGAAGCTGGAGCGGAAATGACCCAACATGAATGGAATGATGCCGCAGATTTTCGAGGACTTTCTAGAGCGTTAATCTTAGGGCAGCAATGCTCTTTTAACTCTTTGTGTCTCTAGCCTACCGTGATATGCTTATGTCTGGGTGAACTGTGGCCATAGTGGCAGTAATGTTCATTTTAAAAATGAAAAACTTTGTTCCTATCACTGTGTGCTTTCACTTTACAGTGTTGCATGCTTAATCAGTTAAGTATAGCTGTTTGTACAGTTTTTTAATGCAACAAAGCTTCAAACATTTTGACAACTGTTATTTTTCCACTCGCATTTAAGGGATTCAAAATCCAAAATACATGGGTAAGAGTTATTTCTGTCGTGCAAGCACTGCTAACAATTAGCAGTGCTTGCAAAGCAGAAATAACTGACCTGTATGAGTTTGGATTTTGAATCCCTTAAATATGAACAGAAAATTGACAATTTAAAAAAATATAAACCTGGAAAGACACAAACTTGTCACAACTAAGATGGTCTGACGTTGTCTCATTTAATAGGCTGATGTAAAGCACGGTAAGCTGCAGTCAATAAATGTCATCTTTTTTATGCAGTGTGGTTTGATTAGTTGCTGAAGGGTGTTGGGTTTCACCGTTTGATAAATGACATCTGTTGTAACACTTGCTATTTTGTGGTTAATTTAATACAGACTTTAACATATGTAATCCTTTTAAGTGAACTTTACAATCGAAAGCAAGGTTCGCTCAGTACATCCGTCCTCCCTTCTATTTTACAAATTGCTGTATAACAATAATAACGGAAAAAGGCACCTGTAGGGTGGAAAAAGCTTGGCAAATATACTACCTTTCCTTTGGCTTCTACCTGCAGCGTCTAGGTGGGGTTGACATCACCTTCTTCCAGCAAGGTCTAGTGAACAAGGAGGATTCCAAATTTGATGCGTAGATGCTCCTACACTACCTTGTTTGAGATTTGGGATATTTGGTATGTCCTGGGATCTGGCTGGAAGGATAGTGATGCCACTCTCTGCAGTGTAGAAGTCGAGGGAAGAATAAGGTGTATTTACAAATATTTTTTCCCCACAGGTGTTTTTTTTTTTTTCTTCAACTATCATACCACAATTTTTTAAAGAGGAGGCCTGATGCCATCCTTGCTTGAGAAGGTCCACATTAAATAATAAGGTACTTTTTTGTGTACCTTTTTTTATAAATGCAGACCGCGCTTTGTGTGTGTGTATATAGGCTGCCATTATTGACTTTGCCTTCTGAAAATGCAAGTTGTGCTGACCCTCAAACTTCAATACTCTGTTACTGTCCTGGAACAAGTAAGATGAGGACAATTGACTTTAAAGGCATAAAAAACAAGTATGCAGATTTTAAAGGACAGCTGTTCTAATGTATAAATATTTGGTAAATCAGTCCCCCTCCCCATCCTAAACTGTGTTCCCCAGCTGCTTACTTACCTTTTGTCAGGACAGGCTGTAAGCACTGGAGGCTACGGCTCTAGAACAAAAGTTATTTTCAGTACTGGCTCTGCTTGTCCATTAGGTACCTATTGACATAAATGTATTGAGACTGCCTGTCCTTGGTATATGGCTCTGTTTAAATCAATGGCCAAAGCATAGCCAACGCTGAGAGATTTTTGAAAGAACAGGCTTTAAATACTGAAGGAAGCTGCAGCTCTGAAACCTACACTGTACTTCCCATCATGGTCTTATTTATCTTTGGATGGGTGGGGATGGTGCATTTAGTGAAAGAGGACCTGAATATATACCTGTGCTTTTAAAAAGGTAACATTCCAAAGAAATCCAGCAAAGCGTGATGAAGCAGAACAGTTACAGGAATTAGAGTATTTCATCAAGTACTTGTGAGGACTAGGATTTAGTAATTGGGGTGATCTTACTGTGCTTTGGTGGTCCTCAGAACGAATACCTTTAAACTAGACTTAGCCAGGCATAGGATAATGAGACATTTGGTGTGCATGGGTAAGCCCTTTTGGTGGTTACATAGAACATCTAACTGGCTTTTGGCCTCAAATATCTGAAAGATCTGTGTGTATTGCCCATAACAGGCAGGTTTCTGTTTACACATTGTAGACAGACAAGTCATCTTTCAGGGACTGGCTGATTAATCAGGCCCTATGTAAACATTGCAGATTAATTGCCACAACCTGATAGAGCATTGTTAGATTTAAGTGCAACTCAGTTGTCCTCCAATTTCCTCAGATATTCCCTTTTTTAACGAATGCAGTAACTGGAAGATGAGCAATCACTGTTATGGTTTATAAGGTATGTTCATAGCATTTACATGTAACCTTTTGGCTGCATTATAAACTTGTAGTCAACACAATTGAGCCCCTGAGATAAGTGTACACTAGGCTCCCAAGAGGTTCTGTAATGCACTTGGCAGTGATTGTAACATGTACAGATGTCTATTCCAGGCTGACCAAATCAGTCGATAATTGGCTGCTGTCTTGATGTAAAGTGTATATGTATTCTGTTTTAAGCGATATATCTGTTTTCGTCCTACAGCTACAAGCTCACTTAATCCCTGGATTAAACCTGAACGCATTGGGTCTCTTTCCACCTTCTTCTTCGGGCATGCCACCTCCATCTGTTGGAGTATCTTCACCGACGACCTCTGCTGCTTATCCACCTTTTGCCGTAAGGACTGAGAAATTATTGGGTCAGAATATGGCCAGCAGGCCTTGGTCTGCTTTAGCAAGCACATAACACTCATAGTTAATAAGGGAGAATACAATCTTCCTGGAAAAATGTATTATATCTACATTTTACAGCCAGCAGGTGTACCTGTCTTTTAACTGCTCTGTTTAACAAAAAAAAGCCTTTTTGAAGAGCTCTACATGGAGGACAGTGGATGAGTCGCACCCTCGGGATCATTCAGAAAGGGCCATTCTGGAGTTTCAGTCCAGCGTGAAAAGACAAATGGCTTCTTCTTTGGTCTCTTTAGAAAACCTATGCATCCTGGATTAACTGTTTTAACTATTTCCCTTTTTGAGCAATATTTTCTCTTTTTGCACAATCTGCATTTTTGTTACTTTTCATTTTTTTACTTGTTTAAAACTCCCAGAACAATTTATATTCTTTGAAAGCAGAGGTCTTGTAGAAGTTTCCTAGTGCAATTTTTATGTAGCATAATATTTGTGCAACTGTTTTGCAAACCTATATTGTCCAGAAAAAAATACTAGAATTAATTTTTATTGCGCACAGGCACAATTTATTGCTCATTTTTTGTAGCAAATGAAAGACAAGGTAGTGTAGAGTAAACAAATGCCAGATGTGTCACGAATCAAAACTACATGCCCCACACAATGGTGAAAAATGATGGTACCCCCCAAATTTTCAATAGGCACTGTATATGAAATACCTTTTTATAACTCATCAGTTTACACCCTTTGCCATGTTTGCATTTGCAAGTGTGTGCAAGACAATAGTTTTTTACTTTTTAAAATGCCTTTTCTTTAAGCTTTATTGCTATCACAAGGGGGCTAACAAGCCACCTACTGTATGTGATAGTATAGGAAAGTGGCAGGTCCTCTTTATGGAGACATTAGAGGTCTGTTAGACCACCAATGTCTCCCATGCCCCTCTACTGCAGCTAATCAAGCACAGATTGTGCTTGATTAGCTGCTTCCCCAACCACAGCAGCTGGAGAATGACCACTCTGAAGCTGGAAGTGCTCAACTCTGAGCTTCAATGACCGCAGAGGAAATTGGCGAGTGGATGAAGGGGCCGCCACAATGCTTGAACCATAAAAGTGATCAGGTGGTTCTACAGCTGCCAAGGACACTTTTTTACAGGACAGCCGGGAGCTGGCTGAAGAAAATAATTACAAGTGTTGAGCTTGTTTTAAACCCTTAACACTCTGAACTACGTTGTCTGTTCAAAGAGGCAACGTGGTCAAGTTTTATACAAATGGGGGGGGGACCAAAACGTTTAAGAATTAAACAATTATAGTTTTTTCCTTTTGCAGTAGATATGCTCATCTGCTTTATGATGGCCAACAGTACATTGCTTGAAATGATCATTCTACTAGTGGAAGTGGTAATAATCTCTTCGCTATGTAGATTTTTGACCGTCTGGGAAAATCTATGGGTGTGATTTACTAAAAACTGAGTGCAAAATCTGGCGCAGCTTTGCGTTGAAACCAATCTGCTTCCAGCTTTTTTTTTTTTTTTTGTCAAAGCTTACTGGAACAAGCTGAAGTTAGATGATTGGCTACCATGCTCCACTGCACCAGAATTTGCACTCTCCAACCCGTGTCTGCAATAGTATGCCTTCAATGCTTAGATGTGCTTGTCATTTCTCTATTACCCCCTAACAAGGCCTTTCATCACAAACCATGCCGAAGTCTCTCCTTTTAGTTAGGAGTTGAAGGGCCATATTTGGATACCGAAAAAATTTGTTTAGTTCTGGTAGCACTGTAACATAGCTTTCCTGTGCAAAGATGCTGAGAGTTGCGAATACATTAATGTTTAGGTAGAAAAGACTACTCCCAAGAACGTTATACTTCTATCCATTCATAAACCTTTTGGCTGTTCTTTGCAGCAACAACCGGAATCTGAAACCGTTCATCTATTCATCCCAGCATTAGCTGTAGGAGCAATTATTGGCAAGCAAGGACAACACATCAAACAACTTTCACGATTTGCTGGAGCTTCTATCAAGGTAATGGATTCTATTTTTTTTCAGTGTTTTCAGAATTCTAAAATATGTGGCTGTCCTTTTTTATCTTTGTTTTATTTTATTTTGTTTGCTTTTTTTTTTTTTTTTAAATGATTGTAGATTGCTCCAGCAGAGGGACCAGATGCCAAACTGAGGATGGTGATTATCACTGGACCACCAGAAGCCCAGTTTAAAGTATGTTTTCGTACATGCGGTAACCTTATGAAGGCTGTGAGACAGATGATGAAAGTGAGATAGACCATGCTAGATCACTCAGTATCTATTGTTGGTGAAATTTGGCATTGCTTCACTAGCATTAATCTCTGGTCGAATCCCATAGTTGTGTCGTTACCATATACATGGTGGTTGATGCAGGACTTTAGGACTACTTCACACCATGTCTATTTGGCAATGTTGTATGGAGTGAACAAGGTATATAGAAAATAACCACAGTCTAGTACGGTGTCCTTACTGGTGGTATATATTAAAGCCAGAGCTTTTTTTTTATTAGTATAGAAAGCCTATGTACTTTTTACTAAATCCCTGTTTAGATTTTGCATCATTCCCGGTTCTATTAACCAAACAAAAAATTAGATCTCCCCGATAAGGACATACACTGCAGAACACACATTACCATTTCACTCTTTCCTCACTATTCTGTGGTGTAAGATATTCCTATCACCATGAACACACAGGAAGTGAGGGAAAATCTCCCCACAGGCTACAGAAGTGGTATTTAAGAAAAAAAAACTGACTGCCCCTTTTAGCCAAAAACTGAAAGGATTGTCAGGATTTGTTCTTTGGTGTATTGTACACATTATTTAATAGGATATATTTGATAAGTTTCAATGTTCTTGTGTTTTGGCCACCTGTATTATACTGTCTAAGTATAAAACAGAGATTTAGCAACAGAAGAGAATTTTTCATATGCTCATCCCCAAAAATGAACTTGGACTCTGAAAGAAGCAGTCACCTTTGTTATTACCAGCTCTTAAGAAAGCGGCTATTTATCATAAAATGTACATGATAACTCCAAAATCTTGAGTTTAGATTGTTGCACTTTCATTATGCATGAGAAGGGAAGTGTCTCTTAAATGCAGAATTGTCCCTTTTGAGTCTCTTGCCTTTACTTGTGGCAACACTGAATGGTAACCAGCTTTCAGTCTAGACAGTCACATGACATGAAAATCCCAGATTAAAAATACTTTGACATCAAAAGAGATGGACAAATACCAACCAAAGAGTTTTTTTGCACTTTTGTATCAGCATCAAATTATCTTTTCACATGCAACATCCTGGCATCAGAACATGAAATAATGTGTGTGCATGTGTTTAATGGAATATACAATAGACAACGTTATCATTTTTAGAATTAAAATTTGGTAAGCAAATGTAGAATTTGGAAGATGAAACAAGGTTTGGAAAGCTGCCAGGAACCAAGCAGCCAGTATGCCTAAACTGGCACCTCACTAAGACCTTTTTGTTTTTTAATGCAAGCACATGGCACGTTCCTTGTATCCTAGACTGGGCCAAAGGGCTTATGAATTCTACATTCATCTGTAGCTAAAACTAGCATTAAATTGAATACAAATATGCATAATTGTTCAATGTACATGCATGTACAATTTTTGTGTGGTGCTTTAAATCTTTTGCTAACTTTAATTTTTGTCTGCAGGCTCAAGGAAGGATCTATGGTAAACTTAAAGAAGAAAACTTCTTTGGACCCAAGGAAGAAGTAAAACTTGAGGCTCATATTAAAGTTCCATCATATGCCGCTGGTCGTGTTATTGGCAAGGGTGGCAAAACTGTAAGTTTCAAAAGTAATAGATGCACAAAGGCAGGGGGGCTGTCAGAATAATTCTTGGCATAATGACCTTTGTAGCAGAATAGTAACTTTACTTCATTTGAGAAATACATAGGATCCAAATAGTCTTTATTTACCAGAGTGCCATAGATTATGTGTAAAATCCATGTGCTAGGTGGAAGCTCTGTTAGGCTCCTTGGCTACAGTTTTAGGCAGTTTCTGCAGCAGTCACAAATGTTTGCTAATGTAAAATTCTCAGTTATGCCATATAGGCTGTAGAAGATGTAGTATGTACCCCATATTTCATAGTAGTCAGATGTACTGAAACTCTTAGTCAAAGGTGTAAGATCAATAATGGTCACCCTTAGGTGCTCATTCTCCAGCAAGAAGATACTGGACTCAGAAAAATTGTCTTCCAGTTGTGGTCCAAGAATACCTAGAGGATTACTTATGCTATTCAGATATTGAATAAGGCAGGAAGTTCTGCTGTTATGCACAATCAGGAGCAGTGTCAAACCGTGAAGTAAAGCTAAAAAAAAGAAGAAACATATAAATCCTTCATAAGTAAGCCCACTCTTATATTTTAACTTAAGGCCAAATATTCATGGTATTGCATAAACCCAACTGTGGAGAATTTCTTTTTATTGGCTAGTATAGTATAATAGTATATTATAAAATGTGTAAGCCATTTTGATCTCCTATACTAATTCAGTGGAGACTGTTTTTGTTTTTTTTTATATTTATGATTTATAGTAAGCCAAGCTTTGCAACCAAGGCTCTCTTCAAAGCACTGGATTTTGTGCCTCTACCTCAGGCATGAAAAAAGTTGAAAGCAGTCAGTCCAAAAACTTAGTAATATAGCCAAAAAAGTAGAACTGGCAATATGCACCCATTTCCTACGTAAGAACTTAAGTGGTGCCTAGTTCTCCAAGCCCCACTTTAGACTTTGATGTATTACTATAGCATAAAAGCGGAGTATGTTTACAAGCTAGTGTAAATCTGTAAATTAATGAATTGCCTATGGGGGGCTAGATGTACCTTGGTTGTAACAGCAACTGGAAAAGTCACCTGGTGACATAGAAGTCCTGCCCGTTATCTCAAAGCTATTTAGCTTCTCCTATGTGCTTGGATTTAGCTTCTCCTATGTGCTGCATCATGTCCCTTTTATGGTGAACGTCCTGCTACATGATGCAAGGGAATCCTTGCTATCATGCTCCATATGTATGAGATTGGAAAATTTTACTTTTCCCCACCTCTATAAGGCTTGTTGGTAATCATTATATCCTATACCATCAATGATAGCACTAGTAACAAGGAATAGTAGAGAACTGGAATATATGGTTGGTGTGGAAAGGGGGCTGTTGTATGACTTCTGGGTGAGAATGTGGCTGCTTTGCAAGGTTCCATACCTAAGATGAGTTGCATTGCTGCTGGATTTTGAGATTTGCGCAGATTTTACCTAAATATTTACAGCCTTCTTGGACGTACCCAAGAATGCAAGGAAAAGTAGTAAGAGGGCCCCGCTGCCCCCACAATTTTCACCTCAGTCTGTTTTTCCACTCCTTGTTGGAACAGGTTTGAGTAAAGAATTCATGAATGACTAAAAGAATTTCTTTCCAAATATAATTGTTTTCTTTCAGGATTGTATTGACATTTGTTTTATAATTTTATTGCAGGTTAATGAGCTACAGAATCTTACAAGTGCAGAAGTAGTTGTGCCCCGTGATCAAACCCCAGACGAAAATGATCAAGTGGTTGTAAAAATAACAGGTCATTTTTATGCAAGCCAGGTATGTGTCTTCTTTATAGTGCTTCAGAGCACATTACTATTCCGGTAGTAATAAATGGATTCTGTTTTTATGGGATATGCTCATAATATTTAAACAAGAGTGCCGCTATCCTCAACACATAAAAGCAGCATTTGATTCATAAAAGTTGTGTGATGGTGGTCACAGGGTGTTTAAGAAGTGTATAGATATGGAGACAAAAATAGAAATGGTCTTTCGGCTTTCCTGATTTTTATTTTATTTTTTTTTAATACATGGACAAAATAAGAGGATTTTTGTGCTCATCCTTTGAGTCCATTGAGGAACTAAAATAACGCTTATGTGCAGGTACTGTGAATATCTCCTAAACTTGCACTGTTTAGGAGATATTCACACAGCTTGCAGATGGTGACATCACCATGCATGCGCTCTGAAGGATCGGCATAGCCAAGCTGGACCATCAGAGCTCGCAGATGTATGGGATTGATGTCGTCACGGCTCCAGCCATCCATATGGATGTCGTCACGGCTCCAGCCATCCGAAGGAAAACTGAGTGAAGATGGCAGTGCCGGGGTGCAGTGACAGCGCTGAGCTGGAGTGCTCCGTGTAAAGGTATGTCTGTCATAAAGTAATAGTATACGGTGCATACTAGTACACTATGACCTAAACCTGCAGGGGCCTTTGTTGTGGGGGGGGGGGGAGGGTTGGCAGTTTACTACCGCTTTAAACCTTCAGGCTATACCACCAACTACAGAAGAATTGGACACTGGCAAAAAAAAAAAAAAGTAAGCCAGCCCAGTATAAACCTTATTACAAGCATGCCTCAGTTTTGTAACAAAGCAGTACATAGAGCATGATCATAAACATGGGGTTAAAAACCGTTTTACTCCATCAGCTCTAAGAAATGTTTGGTGAGTACAAAAACGCTCCATTTTATTCTCGTTCATTAAGGGCCACAGTGACTGCAAAACCTTTGGGACATCCAAAGGCAGTATCAATCTTTCTGAAAGAAGCAGTGGTTGAGAAATAAAGCACTACATGCACAGCCTGAACCACATACCGATTATGGAGGGTATTTTTTTTTTTTTTTTTTTTTTGGTGAACTGGCACAATACACAGGGATGGAAGAACAATGTCCTGGTTAAGATGAAGTGCAGGAACTTCCTTAGACAAGAAGGAAATACTGGGCCTCAACACCTCCTTGTCCCTACACAAAACCAGAAAACCAGACAGGTTATGGCTGCCAGTTCAGACACACCACCCTTGTGGATGAGAGAATGTCATGAAAGTGTTTAAAATGGCAGATTTTGACATGCAGAAAATACCAGATGCAGATCTGACAGTCAAGGGGGATTGGACCAGGGGAAGCTACTTGGGTACTTAGGAGACTTCCCCCATGCAAAGGAAAAACAAATTAAACCATAGAAAGTGCAGAAAGCTAACCCTTAATAGTCCTGAGAGCTATACATTGGTCCAAAACTAGCTGCAGGAAGGAGAGGATTGTCCCATGGGGTGGAAGCTCAGAGACTCAACTGAGTGAAAAATGTCTTCATGTCTGATGATGGGCCTTGTAGGAAGGAGACTTTGTAACTTTTAGTATCATAGGAATCTCTTACTCAGATGTCCCTGGGAACCTGGGCTTCAGTTCCCATACTGTTAAAGCCAATTACTGTGAAGTAAATGGCTAATTGGTCCTTGGGAGAGCAGATCCTCTGTGGGCACTAGCAGGAGTCCTAATAGATCATTGTACCATATCCACCTGGGTCAGTCTGGAGAATGAAGCAAACACGGTTGTACCCTCTGTTTCAATGCTGTGAAGCAGATGAGCTAGAAGTTACAGGAGAGAAAAGGTGACTGGGTGTACTGATCCCATGAAGCCACCAAAGCATCCATGCTTCCACTAAAGCAGGGGCAGGCAACTGTGGGCCTCCAGCTGTTGTAGAACTAAAAGTCCCAGGAGGCATTGCAAAACTGACAGTTACAAGCATGACTCCCAAAGGCAGAGACATGATGGGACCCTTAGTTCACCAACAGCTGGAGGGCCACAGTTGCCCACCCCTGCACTAAGGATTCCCATATGTGGTGACAAACCTGTCCAGTTTTGTTGTTGAATCTGGAGGTCCACATTCGGCATCCTAAAGCTATTAAGTGCTTTTGGAGGGGTTGCTCCACCAGATGAATGGAATAGACTCAGAACAGAGGGCAACATACATTACTCCGGACGTTGGTGCTGTCACAGTAGGCGTTCTGCAAGCAGCATCTGTACTGGGGGCACATCGTATTAAGGACTGTATCCTCCATGTCTAATATCATAGTATTAGACCTGTTGTGATCACATAGCAGTAAGGCAACATATAGACTCAAAGTAATTGTCAAAATATTCTAGAAACCTAGATAGCTGGTAGCAGGTCAAGGTTGGGTGGCTGGAGGTGACCAAAGTCACTGTAGACAGGCAGTAGAAATGGATGGATTATGTGAGCAAAGGCAGCAGCTGGGAGATGCTTCCTTGACACTGGATGGGGGAAAAGCGTGCACACAACACTTCACACAATAAATGAAGTCCGAATTTAGTCCCACAATGTAAACTTTTTGTGTGATAAAAATCAGCAGGAATGGGGAGTAAAGGCTTTTAGTGACTTATGCATACAAGATGGCTCCCAGTGCTTGGCCTGACTGGCCTTCTCATTGAATCTTTAGAAACAGGACATGCACTGAGGCAGTGCCAACAGCTCAGCAGTTAATTTTTACCAGAATGGAGTCTGGCCACACTGAAAGTGCCTGAAGGCTATCTACAAGCGCTAGCCAAAATTATGTTGGTCTTTAACACAGCAGAGCTGAAGAGGTCTATCCACCTAGGACACCAGGCATAGTAGGTAGGTGTTGTCCTAGCCTGGGTGTTGTGTCAGTGGACAAGAAAAACACATATACAAGCCATTTTACCTGCTAAAGGATATATAACATTGATTATCCATTTCTGTTATTTGCACAATTTTCCAGCGCAGCACAACCTCCTCTGGCACGGCAGAGCCCAGATTTTTTTTTCTGCGGTTAAGGAATGCATAGGTCGCTATATTTAACTGCAGTAAGGATGGCAAATTGTCTGAATAGGAAGCATGCCCTTATCTCCCATGCACCATTCAGGTGTCCTCTGAATTGCTTTGTTGTTTAAAGTGGAACTCCTCCGTTTGTAAATTGATAGTATGTCCTTATGTTTACATTTTAGCTTGCTCAGAGGAAAATTCAGGAAATATTGGCTCAAGTGCGGCGCCAACAACAGCAGCAGCAGAAGACCGCACAAAGTGGACAGCCTCAACCGAGACGAAAATAAAGGTTCAGGAAAATGACCCTTCACAGAGACAGATGCCAGACCAAAGACAGACTGCGTAATTGACAGGCATCCCATGCCTGTCAGTGCTAAGTGGTTACGAAATACCATCTAGCTTGTCACCTGTTTGAGGACCAGGCAACATTAAAACTGTCTCTCTGAGAATGTATTATTTAGGCTCTCAAACTTTTAAAACCCAGCTTTAAAAACAAAAAAAAAATGAAAAAAAAAAAATGGAAAAAGAAAAGAGAAAAAAAATAAGGACCCCTTCACTTCCCTTTTGATCTATTCTCACAAGTTAACATAAACCTTGTTAGTCTTTTTTTATTGTTCTTATTCCCCCAACAATTTTAGAACTTTGTTTAATGAAGCTTTCTCTTATGAGTTCTCTGGTTCAAAAAGAAAAGGCATTGCTCTTTATACGTCCAGTTGTATAAAAAAAAAAAAAACAAAAAAAAAGAAATTATAAATAGTAGAGGGTGGGATTATTGGCTGGGTTAGCGTTGAATGGTATTGAGAGTATTAAGTGTTAGTCCCAGTGTTGAACAAAGTGGCATTTTTTTAATTTGGTTGCATTTTTACTTAACACTGCCATGAATAACCTAAGGGAAGTGTAGAATGGTGTTGGCCAGGGCATAAAAAGATGAATATGCATTTTACTAAACTACCTCAGGCATTTAGTACCTCAATGAGAAATTGTTCCTTTTTGCTTTTTTATTTTTATTTTAAATTTTTTTGGTATTTTGTATACTTTATAAAGCTAATAGTTCTTGAGCATTTTATTTTTTTAATAAAAAATAAAATATCAGCTACCAGCTAGAGGTGCTACAAAAAGTATATTTCGTTGGAGATGGCATCTACTAGCTGATGGCTGATGGGAGTAAAAGATGGGGAGTTGCCTTGGTTTTTCCTGAGGCCTTCCACACCATCATTTTGCTAGAAAATTCAGTGAATGTTCAAAAATAGATACTGAAAGGCGCCACCATACTGATAACAGCAATGCCGTTTATTTTTCTTTTACTATGGGATGAAAAAAGTTTGACGGTACTTTTTCTGGGAACACAACACAAGGAAGTGATGGAAATAGGCCACCTGGGTTTGGGGAATACATTTTTAGAATAGTAGATGTTTTTTCCCCATTTTTTAATTTTTCTCCTTTTTGTTTTTAATTTTTTGGTGTTTTTTTTTTCTTCTTTGTGCTGCTTGGTTGAATGCAATGAACCCTTTGTGCCTTTGACCATCACTACCTAACGATGCTACATTGAAACATTTGCAGCCCGTTTTGAACTTTGCCATTCTGTTCAAAGAGCAAGCTTCATCGTCAGTTTGGTAAACAAAAAGTCACACATGATCTATGGGAGCATAGATATATATAAAATATATAAATATATATTCCTTTTTTAGTTTTATTTTTTCATATCCATCAGCTGATGCTTCCCATCAGATCAACACATTATGTTCAGTTACCACAACTGGGGGAGAGGGAAAGGGGAATGGGTCAAACGATGTTTGATTCACAGGAAAGACAGGCTTACGTTTACATATCCAGCCGCAGTAAAAAAAAAAAAAAAAAAGAATTTAAAATAAATATATAAAAAAAAAAAAAAAAGGGCCACACAAAGCCACTTGGAAGGTTTAAAACTGAATACAACCGTCTATTCTGGTTTGAAATGGCTACAGCAGGGTTTATGCACACTTTTACTTTTTTTTTAATTTTTAAATTTTTTTTACTTCCAACCAACCATTAACCCTTCAGCTGCCAGGGGCTAGATGACTAATTGGCTTTATGCTTCTGGCAGCCCAAGGGTGTAAAGAGGAGAGAAAAAACGTCAAAAAGGCAGGGATGAAAAGGAAAGCTACCAAATTCTTTTTAATTTTCAGAATGTAATTTGAATGATGATTGTGGTAATATTTACACATTCAAGTTTCTACAATAAACTTCAGTCTACCTCAGTTTTTTGAAATTGTGGCAACACATGGTGCATAAAGACTGCTGTGTGTGCGTGTGTGTGTGTATGTGTGGTCTTAACAGAGCCATGCGATTTACCTCTGAACCTTTATTTTTTTTTTTTTTTGTGATGTTTTTTGTGCATGAGATGATCACAATCACCATGCTGCACTGATTTGAGGGGCACAACTAGCAAAAAAGAAAAAAAAAAAAAAATTCATCATTTTTGTTGATCTACCTCTTAGAGTCATATTGAAATAGAGGCATTTCTGCATAGAATAGATAATTTCCCAAAGATCATTGTTGTACAGATTTAGATCTTCTTTTTTTTTTTTTTTTTTTTTTTCTTTCTTATTTGAAAATGGTCTGAAGTGTTTTCTTTCTTATTCTTCCTCTATACATTACTAATTTGGTTCAAAGAAATTAGTAAAGAAAAAAAACAAAAAAAACAAACAGAGAACCTATGTTGTAGTTTTAAAAGAAACATGAATTTTCTTTTCTTGACAAGAGTGACTTCATTTAGTGTTTAGGATTTTTCTTACATTGATTTAAAAATACTGAACTATGGAAAAAAAAGTCATTAAAATAGCATATTGAACTTTCGTTGAGGCCTAAGTATAGACCCAACTTATGTTTTTCTTAACATGTTGAAGCAGACATAACTTGATTATTTCCATAATTTTTTTTTACTTTACAGATAGGTGCTGCATTTACATCTGCTGATTTAAATACTGTCATATCTCTTTAAATTTCTAGACTGTTAGTGTGGTAATCATGTTATTTTCAATTGAGACTTGGTAACTTGGAGTATTTTGGCAATAGATACAGTAGAAAGTAATACTGTACATGAGTTTAATATCTGCAAAGCATGGATCATTTTTCATCTGTAATGTGCCCCCCAAGCAGCTCCACTTGCCAGATGCCTCTGAATGGAATAAAGAGTTTAACTCCTAATTTTGCTGCCTTGTGTGTTTCTTGTTGATAATACTGGTAACCTCAATGGGCTATCCCTTTTTTTTTTTTTTTTTTTTCCCTCCATTGCTGAGCTGCTACACTAATGGCTTTGATTAACCTGCTACTGCAGCACAAGAATCCTGACTTCACACCACTGGATGCATACCTGTCACAGGCCAAAGTATTAAAGCAGGACAGTCCACATCACAGACAGGAAATAGGCATTTTTAAAGGGAGCTTGGCAATGGTGAAGGTAGGTATATGAATGTAGTCAGGTTAAAGTGGAACTCCAGCCAGGCCTGTTATGGCTAGTGGGTAACTTCTGTTGGATTTTTACTGCTCTGTTTCTATGTTTAGAGGTACTTCTTTCACTTCCTCGGACCACCGTCTCTGGGATAGAAAGCTGAAAAATATTGTAACCCGGCAGTCTTTATAAAAAAAAAAAAAGTCCAAAGTTTTGCGTACAACGATATTTAACTCAAAACAAAAAAATTTAATGTATTGCAGCTTACCAATCAATCCTCGAATGTGATGGCTGCATTGGTTTTTTTTCGTAGGCTTTTTTCTCCAGTTTTCTTCTGGTTATTTGGCCAGTAACACTCCTCGTATATTAGGGTGCCTACACACTGGATGGAGGAGCAACGGAGAGACCTTTGGACAGCAGCAATGTCAGTCGGGGTAGGGGGGTAGGGTTAGCTGGAGTTTGGCTTCAATTTGTCTAGGTTATCTAAATCTGCTAGTACATTGAAAACTTTTTAAGCGTTACAGCAACAGTTGTGTGTGGGTTGGGTTTTTTTTTGGGGGGGGGGGGGGGCAAAATAAAGATAGAGCTTGTCATTTCAAGCACTCCTATCAGTGTTAAATGGTTTGTCTCAAACCACTAAACAGCTACATCTGCAGGACAGCTTGTTCTGTTGAAAACCAGACTTACCGGAAGGATCACCAGGTGAAAATAAAGGAAGGAAAACTTATAAATTAAATATAATGCCATCACATCTAAGAACTGGTAAGCTGCAATATGTTTGTTTTGGGGTTTAATACTGCTTTATGAAGGATATCTAATGTTTTAACACATGCTGATTTGTACAGGTGAAAACTCACAAAATTAGAATATCGTGCAAAAGTTAATTTATTTCAGTAATGCAACTTAAAAGGTGAAACTAATATATGAGATAGACTCATTACATGCAAAGCAAGATAGTTCAAGCCGTGATTTGTCATAATTGTGATGATTATGGCTTACAGCTCATGAAAACCCCAAATCCGCAATCTCAGAAAATTAGAATATTACATGCAATCAATAAAACAAGGATTGTACATAGAACAGTATCGGACCTCTGAAAAGTATAAGCATGCATATGTACTCAGTACTTGGTTTGGGCCCCTTTTGCAGCAATTACTGCTTCAATGCAGCGTGGCATGGAGGCTATCAGCCTGTGGCATTTCTGAGGTGTTATGGAAGACCAGGATGCTTCAATAGCGGCCTTCAGCTCCTCTGTATTGTTCAGTCTCATGTCTCTCATCTTTCTTTTGGCAATGCCTCATAGATTCTCTATGGGGTTCAGGTCAGGTGAGTTTGCTGGCCAATCACAGTGATCCCACGGTCATTGAACCATGTTTTGGCGCTTTTGGCAGTGTGGGCAGGTGCCAAGTCCTGCTGGAAAATGAAGCAGCATACCCATAAAGCTTGTCTGCGGAAGGAAGCATGAAGTGCTCTAAAATCTCCTCCTGGTAGATGGCTGTGTTGACCCTGGACTTAATAAAGCACAGTGGACCAACGCCAGCAGATGACATGGCTCCCCAAATCAACACAGACTGTGGAAACTTCACACTGGACTTCAAGCATCTTGCAGTGTGTGCCTCTCCATTCTTCCTCCATACTCTGGGTCCTTGGTTTCCAAATGAGATGCAAAAGTTGCTCTCATCAGAAAAGAGGACTTTGGACCACTGAGCAACAGACCAGGTCTGTTTTTCTTTAGCCCAGGTAAGACGCTTCTGACGTTTGTTGTTCAGGAGCGGCTTGACAAGAGGAATATGACATTTGAAGCCCATGTCCAGGATCCGTCTTTGTGTGGTGGCTCTTGATGCACTGACTCCAGCC